ATAAATATATCAAATTTACAAAGAAAAATGGCACACGGTCTCAATGTCGAAAGGCCCTCGAACTCCATTTGCCAACGGGCCCCATTTACGATATCCTGGAGGGTTTCATTCCGCACCCTGCGCATACCTATCTTCGCCTCATAGAGATGACCGAAGCTGAAGAAAAGGAATTTATAAATAGGGAGATAGGCGAAAGGCGTACACGACTGGGTGCGCGCATTGAACAAGTCACACTGGAAGTGAAAAGGGAGGCCTTCAGGCGGAGCGAACTCGAACAGCTTTATCGCGGAATCGTGGATTGGAGCCATGACGATGAGGTCCGGCGTACATATGAAGAGAAGATATTAGAGCGGGGCTGCGATGTTCTCGCCGTTCTTCCGACAAATGAAAAGAGGGCAAAACGAGAGGAGGTGTGGGTGGCAGCTCGCGACATGGTCATTATCAAGCACCCCTTCGAGTTGGCGTGGAGAATCTTTCTTGAATGGCAGGATATTCAAAACTTCTCAGAGTGGGACCGCAACTTTCTAGATGATTTTATCGAATTCTTCCCAGAAGCGGGGCTTACCAAAGTCCTGAAAGGTTTCTTGGCCAGCAACCTTTCACCATTCCCAAAGGAGACGAAGGACCCCAAGGCGAAGGACAAAGATCCTAAGGCAAAGGAAGAGGAGGCCGAGGATGATAATGACGAGACTAATGAACTCGGTGTTCAAGACAGTATTCTGCTGATGGTCGAAGGTCTTGAGATGTCTGGGTCCTCAATTGTTGCGCATCGCATCTTGGGCGAATTTTACTTGACCCTTGAAGAGTACGAGAGCGTTGTGGAGGTTTCTCGCAAAGGACTTCGCAACATTCAAGATTTGGTCAAGATGACCGGAATGAAGCTTCAAAAGACAACCGATTGCATGAATATTGCACTTGCAAACGCCCTGATCTACTATCAGTCGCCCCGGAACCACCCTGAGGCCAAAATCATCTTCGAGGAAATCCTAAAAAGAAATCCAAAGTCCACGAGCTGTCTCCTTGGAATTGGCCTTATTCTCAAAGTAGACGAGGATTATACCGAGGCCGTCAACTTCCTGGAGCGTGCTCTGGCACGAGATCCATCAAACCTCAAGGTTCGTGCTGAGCTGTCCTGGAGTAAGGCACTGACAGGTGATCTTACATCCGGACTTCATGGGCTCCAAGATGTGCTTGAAGAACTACAAAACTCGGATTTGGAACTTAGAGATTTTAAATCGGAAACTCTTTATCGTATTGGTTATTGTCAGTGGGAGTTGGATCCATCACCTGCCGCACGCAAGGACCGCAATGGTGCCTACGCTAATTTCCTTGCGTCAATTCAGACTAACATCAACTACGCGCCTGCCTACACTAGTCTCGGACTGTTCTACGCCGATTACAAAAGGGACAAAGGTAGGGCGCGAAGATGCTTTCACAAAGCCTTTGAGCTATCCCCATCCGAGATCGAAGCAGCTGAAAGACTCGCAAAGGCATTTGCAGATCAAAAAGAGTGGGATCTTGTTGAAGCTGTGTCACAGCGTGTTGTAGATTCCGGAAAAGCCAAACCTGCACCGGGCTCGAAGCGACGGGGTTACAGCTGGCCATATGCTGCTTTGGGCACTGTCCAGATCAACAAGCAGCAATATGCCAAGAGTATCGTCTCATTCCAGGCAGCTTTGAGACTGTCACCGGGCGACTATCATTCATGGGTTGGTCTAGGAGAAAGCTATCATCATTCTGGCCGTTACATTGCCGCTACGAAAGCGTTCGAGCATGCCCAACAGTTGGAGGACTCCCTCTCCAACTCAGATAAGGAACAAGTCTGGTTCGCACGGTATATGCTAGCGAATGTCAAGCGGGAGCTGGGAGAATACAACGATGCTATTGCGAGATACGAGGATGTCCTAAGCATCCATCCAAATGAGTTCGGTGTGTCTATTGCTCTACTCCATACACTCACGGAAAGTTCTTGGAAGAGCCTCGAACAGGGTCTATTCAATGACTGCATTGAACTTGCCCGTAAAGCGATTCTGGTAGCAACATCCCTAGCCCTGGAAAGGGTCGACATCTTCAATTTATGGAAGGGTGTGGGAGATGCCTGCTCAATCTTCTCCTATGTCAAGTCGAAGACTGCAAGAGCCCCAATAAACGAAGTACAGAAACTACTCTCTACCCAGCTTGAGCCTGCAGTTTTCGACATCCTCACAGACGTCGATGAGGTCGGACAAGACCGTCTCTCCGAATTGAAAAATGCGGATGATGAGGCGTGCAGCCCATCAGATAAATGTATGTACGCCTCGATTCTGGCATACAAGCGCGCCATCCACGTGTCAGCACAGGACATTCATGCTCAGGCGGTTGCTTGGTACAATCTCGGCTGGTCAGAATATAGGGCGTTCAGATGTATGCAAGTTTCTACGAGCACTCAAGGAAAGAGACAGTCGCGGAAATTTTTGAAGGCGGCAATTCGATGCTTCAAACGGGCCATTGAGCTGGAAGCTGGGAACTCTGAATTCTGGAACGCCCTTGGTGTAGTGACTACCAGTATGAGCCCGAAGGTTGCGCAGCATGCCTTTGTGAGGAGTCTCCATCTTAACGACAGAACTGCGCAAGTTTGGACCAACCTGGGAGCACTTTACCTGATCCACAATGACATCCAGCTTGCAAACGAAGCCTTTACTCGTGCGCAATCTACGGATCCCGACAATTCCCAGGCTTGGATTGGGCAAGGCTTTCTTGCACTTCTATTTGGTGACCCACGGGAAGCCAGGGGTCTGTTTGAGCATGCCTTTGATATCGCCAACTCGTCAGCCCCATTGCCTAAGAAGCAGTACACGTTGAGCTTGTTCGACCATCTTATGTCAGACTCTTCGGCTTCGAACGAGGTTTCAGCGCTGATCCAACCGTTCTTTGCACTCCATCAGCTCTCTTCGCAGAATCCGTTCGATTTACCCTTCGTGCATCTATCCTCTCTTTTGGCTGAGAGAATTGGCGAACTGTCAGATGCAGAAGCCAGTCTACGGACCCTATGTACCGCCGTAGAGGCAGAATACGAGGTGTCCGAGTCAGCGTCATCCCTCTCTAAATTCGCCCAGGCGAACGCGGATATTGCCCGTGTACTCCTTGCACGTCAGGAATTCGAGGAAGCCGCTGAAAAGGCAGAAACAGCGCTCATGCTCTCTGGAGAGGAAGATGCTGAGAAGTTCGATCCTGACACGAACAGCAAGCTGCGTTTGTCAGCCCACTTGACAGCAGGCCTGGCACATTATTATCTACGGAACATGGACAGTGCGATTGATATGTTCCGTGACGCTCTCCAGGAAGCGGACAATGCGCCTGAAGTGGTATGCCTTCTCGCACAAGTGCTATGGGCTAAAGGCGGCGAGGAGGAAAGGGCTGTAGCTCGCCAACAGTTATTTGACTGTGTGGAGAACAACCCCGAGCATGTCGCTGCTGTCACATTACTGGGTGCTATTGCGATCCTCGATTCCGACAAGGATGCCATTGAGGCCGTCGAATCTGATTTGCAGACCATGATCACGAGAGACGATATTGAGATTCACGAACAGACTAAGTTGGTCAAGCTTTTAACAGCCATGTCTGCCTTAGGATTCACCGATAACCCTGGAGTTCCCGAGGAGACAAGACGCGTTGGAGAAGCTGCGGCAGCCGTGATGAGATCACCTTATCAGCCTCAAGGTTGGATGGAATTAGCGGCAGCTTCCGACGAACCCTATCCCGCGGAGATGGGCGTCAAGAGAGCTTTGCGTAACGTTCCACCCCGCGGCAACCTTGACGCTGTTGACCTGTCTACCGCATATGCACAAACCGGAAAGGCGAGTGACGCGCTCCGGTCTATTATGATTGCACCATGGAAACAGCATGGATGGGAAGAACTGAATCACACGGTGTCTGCAACGAACTAGTATGATGGCTTCCACCTAATGAGAAGTTGCGCTTATAGATAGTCGAGCAGGGCATCCTGCAACATGTCTACTGTAGTTAGAGCATGAATGATGAATAGAAACATCCCGACATACCTAAGACACTACCCACGGACAGGCCTTGTGATCGTAAACCCGACCACTCCATTTTCAAGCCTACTGCTCCCCTTGCATTTCCGTGATTCTGGCTATCAGTCTCTCCTTTCGCCCCTCTCTCCACGCCTGGTCCAAGGAATCAATCTTCCCCCCAAGAAGCGTAACAGATTCAGGTGTCAACAACATCATCCCACGGGCAACCGTCGCATTGCGCAACAGTAGCTTAGCCCCAATGGGCAATTTCCCCAGTGCAATTCCACTAACACGCTTCAACTCGATAGCAACAGCTTTCGTCCCCGCCGCATCTTGCACGACCAACCGGTGCGGGCCATTGCTATTTCCGGTCTCTGGCTGCGCCGAAGCAGTATTACCACCGGTGCCCTCCGCACTCTGCTCCGGGTCTTCGTCCACGTTGATCGTCCGCACAATCTCCCGTCCTCGGATCGCCTCTCCACGTTCCACGCGCTCAATGGCTTCCACTTGGCTCCAAAGACTCGTGCCGATGTCTTCGATATCGAGGACTTGGACGGGGATCGAACCTTGAAGTCGTCTTTCTTGAACCGTGGGATCGAAGATGTCGACAGGAAGGAGTGACGATGGTGTTCGTGTGGAAAGAGAATCTCTGAAGTCCGATGCGAGGATGCGGAATAAGGCAGTCTGTGTCAAGGCCGAGAGGGGAACGTTGCGCTGGTGCGCGGTCGAGGCAACGAAATTATTGAGCCATGCTGCTGAAACCGGGAGGGACTTGCTGCTCAAGAGCTGGAGGGCGATTTGTTCTTCCGAGTTGGCCATTATTTAGACCTCGAAATGAAGTGGTGGTTTCGTGTGTTGTAAGTGGAATTCATTGATTTTCATTTATTTATTTAATTTATTCCGCCGCGGAACAAAATCCGGGGAACGGACCACCGCTTAACCTCCTGACCTTCGCTGTTCTTTTAGCTCCAGACCACACCTTTCTTTCCCTCTTTCCCTCTCCATTGTATTTGTATATAAGTATACAGAACATACACGCTCACTAGGCCCCCTCAAACTATCAAAATGTCCACCATCTCCTCCCCCCGCCCATCAATCACCTCCTCACGCGCCCACTCACCCACTCCAGCATCCTCCCGCCGACCATCTCTCGACACCCTCAATACAAACGTCGGTCCAGGCCTCAGCGCCAGCTCGACCCCCTCCACAGCCCGAGCTGTCTCACCCTCCCTCCATCCACGCCGCAATCGCGCCGCCCTCCGCGACTATTACAACCTCAAACCCTCGGCAGCAGAAACCCCGGGAGCTAGACGATCCCGTAGCATCCCCCGGCCCACAGACGCACCAGACACCTCGAATCCCTCCGTTGTCCAGACCGGAACGGAACTCGATAGTCCCGATTTCGATGCCCAGCGCTATGTCAATCATCTCCTGGCTACGTCGTCGCTGTCAACGGTGTTGAAGGCGGAGAATACGCTCGTCGGAGATATCAAAACGCTTGATAGTGAGCGCAAGGCGCTGGTCTACGATAACTATTCGAAGTTGATTCGGGCGGTGGAGACCATTGGGAAGATGCGGCAGAGTATGGATGATCGCGGGGCGCCGTTGACTATGACCAAGACGCTGGGGCCGGCCATTGCTTTTGTGGCGGAGACGGCTGGGGGGTTGATTCAGGAGGGGGAGGAGCAGAGACGGCGGATGAAGGAGGCGAAGGCGTCAGATGAGGTGGAGCGCAAGAAGGCTGAAAAGGAGACGGTGAGGTGGGTGCTTGGGACGCCGGCTCGACTGGAGAAGCTTGTTGCGGATGGCAGTCGGGAGGAGGCTGAGAGAGATTGGGAGGAGGTACGGGAGTTGCTTAAGAAGTGGGAGGGTGTGAAAGGTACCCAGGAGCTCCGGGAGGCTTGTGAGAAGATTATGGAGAAGAGCGATGAAGCTTCTTGAAGGATGGGCTGTGCCACAACCAATTATCGCAGTCGGGCTACCTTTGTGGACGCCCGCGAGCTGGCCTCGGGAAGAACACTTTCAGGGCTTGGGCTATCGACTGTTGACGCTGCTTGGCCTGTTGACAGTCCGGATACTGCTCGACAAGAGCACACGTTGATTGGGCATGGAACAACCTCATAGGAGCGTCTGGCAACTGCTGGCTCGGGATAGTTCCTAGTCACCTGCAGGTATCACTTCGATCTCAAGGGAAAGCCCAGAAGCACGGTGAGCTTGGAAGCACCAACCATACCCAGGTTCACGCTCAACAACCACAGCCCTCATATCACATCCAATACAAGCAACGAGCAAAAGCAGCTCAGACAGATCATAACGTCATGATCATCATTACACATCTCAGATGCATATATGGACAATACATCAACTCAAACCAAAACAAATCAAACCTTGCGCTCCAAAACTTCCCGACTGGAAAATAAACTCGCCTTCAAGCCATACGAATTCCCACTCGTAATCTCCAAATAAGTATAAGCATCACACTTATAATAAATCGGCCTCTCCTCCTTCCTAACCAACCCCACCTCCACCAACCTCTCCAAAACCCTCCGCACATCCTCCAGATCCTCAAAATCCCTGGTATAGATAGCCAACAACCTTGCCTTGCCACCCTCTTCACGCGTGGCCACCTTGGCCGCAAAGCCCAACCGACCCTCGACCGTCTCCTCCACAACAACCCCCCAAACACGATCCACAGCCTCCTCCCCAAGAAACAACATCCACTTTCCCGAAACCACGCCGGTCTCTCTCGCCAGCGCAAAAATCTCCCTCTCCAACCCCCGCCGCAACGGCACCAGCTTCCGGCCCCTCGCCAGCGCAGACGCCCCCTCCATCTCCACCTCAATGGCTACTTTCTTCTCCTCAAATGCCCTCAGCATCTCCGTCCCCCGACCCACAAATCCCGCAACATCCTTCTCCCCCTGCCGTACAGCGGGATTATCGACATAGATCCACGGCCCCACATCCGCCGATCCCGTCCCAGAGGGCGGTAACCGGGTAAGGAAGTCCTGGACAGACTCGTTGCGTTTGCGGGCGTTGTGCGAAGTCGTGGATGTTGGTGTTTCGGGCTCGAATTGGATGGCGGCATTTGAGTGCGCTTTGGATTTGGGTTTGGTTGTGGGGTTTGGGGGGTTGGCTTCTGGGACAGGTTGTTGTTTCGAGGCTGCGAGGGAGTCGTGCTGGATCGTGGAATAGAGGTTTGGATGGATTTTTTCCCAGTAGGGTTCTGGGTCGTAGGTTTGGGAGAGGTATTCTAGACGGGATTTTTCGTCTTCCGATCCTGAGGTTTTGTGAGTTTTGTTGTTGTTGTTGTTGTTGTTGTTCGGAAATGATGTCATATGGTAAATAGATATTCCACTACCTAGTATAGATAGGAGATGGGGAGGAAGATATTACAAGGTACGAACCATAAAAACTCGACTCATCAGAGAAGAATTCGTTGCTGTCGAGAATGGACATATCGGTAGTGCGCGTTTGGCGCCGGGGTGGTTTTGTTCGCGGCATGGTGGTTGAGTTCTGAGGATGGTGATTTTGTATTGTGTATTGTTGTATAATTTGGTTTATAGAGGTGGAAAGTGTGTTAAGATATGGCTGGAATTCTCGGCGTTGAATGATGTTGTGAGGATTGGTTTTGTGATGTATTTATTTATTTTAAAGAGTCCCACCTGTCACGATAGCTCGGGGCTAAAGCTTTCTAGTGAGTGATTTACGATTGATTGATTAAATCTGCTGGGGTTGATGTGGGGTATCTTTTAGTTAAGTTTGTACATTTAAATGAATATTATTGGGGTAGTGATTTAGTGTTTAATGACAAACTTAACTTATTAAGAATATTGTACTATTGATCAAATACATTGCAACTAGCTGGCTAAGTAATGAAAGTGCTTTACTCGTCAATATTCAACCATGGCTATATAAACTGCATAAACTCGTGAGTCGATTCCAATCTTTTGCTCCTAAAACACAATTGGACCTAGTAAGCAGCCAGAAACGCTTCCCATCTCTATTGACTACCCCAAATCTGCTCCACAAACTCCGTCAAATCAGCCTTCAATTCCTTCGGCTTTTCAAGAGCCGCGAAATGGCCTCCCTACACAACAGTAAGTAAATGAATCGCTCTCAATGCGATGCAACATACCCGTTGGTGCTCCCTCCAAAAGACCAGATTCCCCGTCGTCTCGACCCAGCTCTTGGGCACGGGGAAAAGTTCCACGGGGAAATAGGAAAACCCCAATGGTTTATAAATGTACCGCAGAGTATTCCTCTCGGCGGACATGGGGAGCTCCTGTGGGTCATAACCAAGCATTAGTTCTGACGGACGACCTACGAACTCGAAACCAACCATCGACTCATACCTCTCGATAAGGGTAAATCCCCCGCGGAAACGTCTCTGTTAGCCAGTACAGCGAGACGAATTCCAGAATTGTCTGAGAGGGAAGAGGCTCATCTACCCAGGTGAGGAATTTCTCTCCGACCCTGGACTCAGTCAGACCATGTGCTTCACGTCCAACCTTCCTTTTTCTATTGGTGGTGACTATGTGGATATGACCTACCACGCGAGCAACGCAAGAGGGCTTGAAGAGAGGATATGCCCGATAGTACTTGGTCTAGTGGCATGTTCAAAGGCATATGCGAGTCCCGTGGTCAGGAATTCCTCCCTTAGGCCTAGTCCTTTCTTCTCGACGGCCGTGAGACTCTCATCGGGTACTCCCTTTGGGGGGGTTGCCATCGCACAGAAGTTCACTTTCTCCAGTTGGTCTCCATGCAATACTAATGCTTGGGGTACTGAATCAACTTACAATGAACCGCTGTGTATATGGTAAGCGTTTCGAGAACCAAACATAAATCTACAGAAAAAAACGAACCTTTGCAGCTGTCATGATCTACTGCCAGATTTCTTGATACCCGGCTTCCGATATCGCCTCCTTGGGCAATGTATCCGCTTTCGAACCCTAGGCCCTTCATTAATTGATCGATGACTCGAGCGGCATCGTGGGTGGTATAGTTTCTGTCCACTGGAGGACCAGAGGAGAAGCCATACCCCGGCAGAGACGGGACGATGAGATGATAGGGCAGGGTGCTGGGGGTGAACTCATCCCGGAATAGCTGGAGCAGGGGGAGAAACTCCAGGAAGCTTCCTACATAGCAACGCCCGGTGAGTCTACAGAATCAAACCCTAACAGATAGAGATGTTACAATACCAGGCCATCCATGAAGCAGCACGATGGGCACTGCATCTGGTTTCTCTGAGAAGAGGGCTGCGAAATGCAGCTGGATATCCTCAATCTCGGCTGTGAATTGAGGGAAATCGTTGATCCGAGCTTCGCATACTTTCCTACGCGGAGTCAGGTTTCTCTCGGCTCTGGAGAAAGTGGGTACTTGAGTGTATTCAGTCGAGAAGGATACCAGTTAAAGTCATTCAGCCACTTTTCTCGGATCTCGGTGAGCCATTCGGAAGTGATGCCGAAGCGGGCGTCTGGATGAGAATTCTCGTATGTCCGAGGGCCTATCTTTGACAGCTTGACTAACGTGTGGAGTTCGGTAAGCTGTTCCTGAGGAATGGACACCTTGAAGGCGTGTGGGGTAATTCTCGCCGTGGAGGGGAGTTTGTTGAACGGTGCAGACATGGCTTGTCTATCTATCTACGATTGGAAAAATAAAATCAAATAAATTTATTGTATAGAGTAAGTGGTAGAGAATATAGGCAAGTTATTCTCGAAATAAACACAATATTGAACAGGGCAAGTCTTACGATGCTGGTTTTGTATAGACAAGCAAAAAATGCGGGGATGCTGATGATTAATGGCATCCAAGTCTGGTTCAATTGGTTCTCACGAAGACTGAGAGTCATATGATTCAACATACATGACAACATGTAACCCCAGAAACCTCCCCACGGTTGTTAATGTCATCAAGTTCATATTATCTTAACTCCGTTCCGATATCTCAATATGGGGCACGGCACTTGGACCCTATCTTGAATTGCGTTACCCTCGGGATTGAACTTCATTGATAATCGGAAGGGCTTCCCGATCCCAGTGAATCCCCAGGTTTCGGGTCGCCCGAGTTCTCATTTGACTTACCGATTCGAGAATAGCCCGAGATGGAATGATATACATTTAATATAGTCCAAGTATACCCCCTCGACTTTGTCCTCGAACGAACTGCATAAGCTATACAAGTCGCAATCCGTGATCATTGCGATTTTACAGAATAATTAATTTATCATGGCATCATCATTCGCATCCATCTTGAAGGACTCCAGTCTCTTCGTCGAACGCTCATACGTCAACGGCCAATGGGTGTCCTCCAACTCTAATGCTACATTCAAGGTCACGAACCCCGCAAACGAAGCACAGGTTGGCGTTGCCCCTGAATCCACAATCGACGACCTGAACCTCGCTATTCAAGCTGCATCCGAAGCATTCCCAACCTGGAGATCGGTGCCAGGCCGTCAGCGTGGCCGGATCCTGCGTCGCATTGGCGAGCTCTTGGTTGAGAACAAGGAAGACATTGGCAAGATCATCACGGCCGAGAATGGAAAGGCCAAGGGTGATGCCGAGGGTGAGGTCATGTTTGCGGCCAGCTTCTTCGAGTGGTTCGGAGAGGAGGCTCCCCGAATCTACGGTGACATTATCCCACACAGCAGCCCCGCTGGTCGGACGCGTGTTATCAAGGAGCCTGTCGGGGTGTGTGGTTTGATTGTTCCATGGAACTTCCCCTTGGCTATGGGTGCCCGCAAGGTCGCCGCGGCCCTCGCTGCTGGTTGTACAGTCGTTATGAAGTCGGACGGTCTGACGCCCTTTGCTTCCAACGCTATGGCTGTGGTGGCTGAGCGCGCTGGTGTCCCTAAGGGTGTCTTCAACGTTGTGACTGCGCTGAACAACACTCCTCAGCTTGGTCTGGCCATGTGCGAATCGGATATCATCAAGAAGATCTCCTTCACCGGATCGACAAGAGTCGGGAAGCTGCTGATGAAGCAGTCCAGCAGCACCCTGAAGAAGTTGAGCTTGGAACTTGGAGGCAACGCGCCATTCATTGTGTTTAACGATGCCGACATCGAAACCGCCATCACCAGCGCCCTCATCAGCAAATTCAAGGTGACCGGCCAGACCTGCGTGTGTGCCAACCGGATCTTCGTGCAAGAAGGCATCTATGACCGCTTCGCCCAGCGACTCGTCGAGGAGGTCAGCAAGTTCAAGGTGGGCAACGGTCTGGAGGATCCTTCCGTGACCCATGGACCCTTGACCAACGGTGTGGCAAAGGTGGAGGAACACATCAAGGATGCCGTGAGCAAGGGTGCAAAGGTTCTTCTGGGTGGAAACCGACTCCCTGCCCTCGGCAAGAACTACCACGAGCTGACCATCCTGGGCAATGCCAACGATTCTATGCTGGTGTCTAAGGAAGAGACCTTCGGCCCTGTCGCAGCATTGATGAAGTTCAAGACCGAGGATGAAGTCGTCCAGAGAGCCAACAACTGCGAGGTTGGATTGGCCTCCTATCTCATCACAGGCGACCTGGGCACATCGCACCGGGTCTCCGAGAGACTCGAGTTCGGTATGGTTGCTATCAACACTGGTGTCATCTCAGACGCCCCAGCACCGTGAGTTTCCCATCTTAACCCTATTTTTTTTTTAACCAAAAAAAAAAAAAAAAAAAAAAAAAAAAAAAAAATACTAACCAGGTCTAGGTTCGGCGGTGTCAAGCACTCCGGGATGGGACGTGAAGGCAGCAAGTATGGAGTTGACGACTACATGACTATTAAGATGATTACCACGGGAGGCATCAACACTATTTACACGCGCTTGTAAGAAGGATAATGACAGCTTAGACGACTTATTATTTATAGACTAAAATGAATGTCTTTTTTCTTGTTCAATTCAGATGTTCTGCTATTACACACGTCACCGTGGCATATCCGAGGATAAGAGAGAACATCTATTGTTCCTTGAACTAATAGATATAGATCAATGCATGGTCAACAAGTTTATATATCTTAAGTATCCCGACCAAGGCGTAGCGAGCAACAAAACAATAAAAAAAAAATCAAATCAAAATCAAAAAGAAATTATTTCACCGCCCTCCACAATCCCCCCCCCCCAGCAACATAAAAATAGAATGAATCTTACTCCAGATCCTCTTACTAGATGCACCTAAATATAGAGTCCTTGATTAGATACAGTACCTGTTTCCCAAAACATCAAATCTAATCAATAACAACAACAACAACAACAAAAATGCCACCCCAAACCCCTCAATCCGCGACCACAGTCTACCTCGATCAACCCCCAAGTTGTCTTCAAACCTGTCCCGCATCACCCAACCACATCGTGATAGGCACATACCTCCTCAGCGAGACAAAAGATGAGGGAAATGACACAATCCAACAAACTAAAACAGGCAGTCTTCAGCTCTGGCATTTAGCACCGGAAACGAACACCTTGTAAGCCACCCCACTTCACCCATATAGAACTTGAACTTTCCCTCACCCCCTCCTCACCTAAAAAAATAAAAAAAATAAGAAGAAAAATATAAGAAACTAACAAACCCCCATAGAACCCAACTCCAAAAACTCTCCCTCCCCCACGCAGTCTTCGACCTACACTTCCACCCCACAAATCCCACCCTGTTAGCAATCGCCACAAGCTCGGGATCGGTATCCCTCTTCCGGATCACCACCACCGACATCTCCTCGGGAAGCAAACCCGAGATCCTCCCGCTCTGGACCAAACCCGTCCACGAGGACCCGACCATCCCGGCACTATTCCTCGCTTGGACGCCTGCATGCTGGTTGAATCCAGCTACTAGTAGTAGAGGATCTTCGTCTTCCGCGGATGGGTTCGCGGTCACGTTCTCGGATGGTCGGACGAGGGTTTTCGGGTGTGCCGAGGGGATCTCGGGTTTAGCCGATGGTGATGATGGTCATGTAGAGGAGGTGGGGTGTTTTGCTGTGAGGGAGATGATTGAGGTTTGGTTTGTTGCTTTGGGGGTGTTTTCTTCTTCCTCTTCTTCTCCTGATGAGGAGAAGGGGAGGTTTTTGTTTACGGGGGATGATTTTGGGGGGTTGCATACTCGGCGGTTTTCTGATTTGAATTCTAATTCTAATACTGACCTAGATGAGGCTGAGGCTGAGGCTGAAGCTGAGCTGCTGGCGCCGGTTATGTTGGACTATGATGATCGGGCGCGTCATCATACTGCTGGTGTGACGGCTATTTTGCCCCTGTCGGTATTGGGATTGGAGGATGGGGCGCCATTGCTCCTTACGGGGAGTTATGATGAGCACCTCCGGGTTTATCATGCTACGCGGAGGGGGCAGGTTTTGGCGGAGGTGTGTCTTGGGGGTGGGGTTTGGCGGTTGCAGTTGGTGAAGACGGAGCATGGGGTTTCGTCTGGGGGTGAGGAGTGGAGGTTCCTTGTTCTGGCGAGTTGTATGCATGCTGGCACGAGGGTGGTCAGGGTTACCCGGACGTTGGGGGAGAATGCCGGGTGGGATATTGAAGTGTTGGCTGAGTTTACGGAGCATCAGAGTATGAATTATGCGTCTGATGTGTGGAAGCCGGAGGGCGGATATGATCTCCAAGGGAAGGAGATGTCGGAGCTGCTCTGTATATCGAGTAGTTTCTACGATCGGAGACTTTGCCTGTGGCGGGTTAATGTATAGAACAAACGACCGGAATAAAAAAATATTGTTTATTGTTCATGAAATGATGCGCTCGATAAATTCATCATGCAAGGCGACGACGGTATACAAGATATAAGAACCTCCCGGGACCCAGACGGAAAAGGCAAAGGAAAAAAAAAATCCGTGACTAGATCTATTAAATTAAACAATCGTCTCTAGTTCGCGAGCGTAGCCGATCGCGTTCTCAATGATTGCGGTGCTGGCCACCAGGATATCCTTCTCGGACCGTGCGGCGGCCTCCGGCTCAACAGGGAAGTATATCCGTCCATCACGAAGCACCCATCCGCGCTGCTGGGCGAACTCAATGACCGCTCCCTCCGACTCGAGGAACAGAAGGTTCTTGGCGTTGGAGATGGGGAGCGAGGGGTACGCTTTCTCGGAGCAGTCGGCGATTTCACTACGGATGGTTCCAACAAGGACCTGAATAACCGGGAACAGTCAGTATACGCTCCGGCAAAGGAAAGGAAAGGAAAAGTAGCACGTACATTCGAAAACAGTCCGAAATCCTCTGAGGGTACTCTCTCCGACTTGGTCTCTCTCCACACCTTATCATAGCTTCCCTCCATCAAGTTTCTCTCCAGTTCCACCGGGTACTTAATGCATGGGTCGTCCTCAATTCTCTTTCCCTTCAAACTCGCCTCCTCAACGAGACCCTCTAAGACGGTATGGAAACTAGTGCTGTCGCCCATGCTCAGCAACAGGAGGAGGTACAGGCCCGTGATCTTGCTCCGTTGGCTGGTCTTGAAGTCCACCTTTCCTGCACTAGCGCCATCTCTCTCCAGATCGTAGAAAGGCTGCAACTGCTGGTAGTATCGTGTGAAAGAGGGTGCGTCGGTTTGCCGGATGGAGGACAGAGCGCCGAGCTCCAGCACTTCCCGGGCAACGGCAATCAACTCAGGCGATGTTGAAGATGTCGGGATAAGGGCATTCTGCAGCAAGAGGGTCCGCTTTGCGCGACTAAGAAGATCGTTGGCAGCATCAAATTGTTTCCGGTTGAGAGCGTTGTGAAGCTCTGAGACGAGGGTCCGGAGGTCGGCGCCGTTTGCCATAATGGGTCTGGATTAGGATCTGAGATGGAGAGTATGTGGAAGACGACTCGGAAAGTAAATAAAGATGTGATAAAGAAGTCCGGAAGAGGTTTGAAGCGTACGGAAAAAGGTAAGGAGTGGTTTTGTGGTGGATGGTCGATGATGGTTGACGATGACACCAGCAGTTCCAAGAGCTTCTCCAGCGCATCTCTTGGCATGAGGTCACGTGGGGCTGAGCGGCGTCTCCATTACCTACAAAGGTATAGAGTAAAGAATGGAAAATAGGAAAGAATTGTAAATAAAGCAAAAATTATAAAATAGAAAGGAAGATGAAACTAGTTGACACTGAAATCCCGACATTCTGCAGCAGGGACGATCTATATAACGAGAAGCACGAACGCTATATACAAAAGTGGGATTCGAACTATACGTTTCTAAACTACCCATGCTCAAGACCCTTTAAGCGACGACTCTCCCGTCGTACTTATACGCACATAGCCCGTCCAACAAGTGCTTTGTAGTAGGGCGTTCCAAGCCCTGTGACGGGATCCCACCCGGGCGTTGCATTCCAGCTTGCATACGGCACCTCCCGTCCAACATCACCAAAACACCCTACCGAACCTCCATCGACGATGTCTGTAAAGCCAGTCTGGTTGAGAGAATAGAGCCAAGGGTTGAGAAACCCCAACCGTGGCTTGTTGTTCTCCAGCCGAGCTGCATTCAACCGCGAGATAATACCAGCAAACACGGGCGCTGCAGCACTAGACAGCAACGTCAGCTTCCTGTATCTTATATCTTAGCGACTATATTATAGCGACAAACCTGGTGCCTCCCGTGTTTAGAAGCTGTCCATGATCCATGATAATAAAATGATCCGCCTGGGCAGCAACATCGGGGATGGCCCTTCCATTGGGATTGTAGAGCCCTTCCCATTTGGACCCCAGTTGACTGAGATATTGATTGACACTGCCATTCTGGTAAGAAGGACGCGGGAAGTATTCTGAAAAGCCGCCTGTGGAGTAGCCAATGGCCATTTCAGGCTCCCTACCGTAGGTGCCACCTACAGACGTAACAAAAGGACAAGATGCCGGGTAAAGCGGTTGGAACCTTGTCCGATTAGTCCCGTCATTGGTTATACAAGAGTCCCCAACGCCCGAATCGCCGCTGCTAAAGATCACAGAGACTCCGCGCGCTCCAAGCTGAGCAAACATGTTACATGTGGCTCTCGCGTAAATTTCTGGCACGCTCTGTTCTAATTCACCGTAGGACGTAGTTAGGACAGCAGGCAGTTCGTCATCTGGGAGGTCTAACAGATAACGAAGTTGTTCAAGGTATGGCTCATGAGGATCACTTGCGCCATTAGGCCCTAAGTCACGTATAACCGGGCCACGCCCGGCGGTGCTGTAGAATGTTGTGAAGGCGTTATCGGCTAGAGCAGCAGCGTACTGGATGTCCAAGCTTGCCTCGGAGCTGTCCTCCAAAGAATCTTGCAAATTGAGACCACCATTGATGAACACCACAGTGTAGTTAGTGTCTGTTATTTTCGGTGCATAAAGGCGCAAGAACTGATGAAAGTCGCTATAGCGTGCATACTGACCCAGGAAACCAGATACCCCGAGCCTGTTACGACGGTCCGGCTTGGGCTTGGAATCAGAGATTCCATACAGTTCGCGGAGACAGTTAGGTGTGACTATTGATGAACAGCCTGCCACTAGATCTTTGAGGGTGGCGGGTAGAGCTTGAAGGAGTGGCGGCTCAGCTTGCGGCATAAGCTGGACAAACCGGGTGGTTGGCTGAATCATCTGCACAAGCGATCGAAGTTCTTTAGGCACCGAATATTTGAGAGTCCTGACGACGGTGGCTTTCGATTTCTTGTGCTCAAAGATATAGAACCGTGTCTTTAACAACTGCTCCGCTTGCGAGACTGGGACTGTAAAAGTAATCCAGCCTGTATACTTGCTGATAGATGTAGCAGGTATATGCGCGGCTTCAAGCCAAGAGAGAACCCTCCGCGGAGCTACATCAGACGAATATAAAAAGCTCCTGACTTCGTCACGACTCATGTGATATCCATAGTTCTGGCTCCCTGGAGTAGATATTTCGATGACCCTTTGCTCAAATTCAGATATTCTTTCTGGGTGGACTGCCAGCTGAAGTTCGATCGACTTCGACGGGGAAGGCGTCCCCACATCTACCCAGTCATCCGGAATCTTTTCCAGGCGTTCAACAACCGAGTATCTGGGCCCAGTAACTAGCGCAGTGACTAGAACGTGAAGGACCAGGGATAAGGCTCCTAGAATATATGCAAACAATACCATCTGTTGAGAAGACATATCAGATCGAGCTTAGTCAACCTGGTGAAGGAGGAACATACCGGGAGAGACTAACGACCCTCACACATGTGTAGAGGGAGGAAACTACATCTTGTCCGATGGCAACTTAGCAGAGGCATCGGCCGCGTTCAAACCTTTTGTCATTGTGATTAGTGCGACTAGGGATCGAAGCATCATGGCCAGGATCCACGGTTCACCACATTAGCGATATGTGGTAACTAGATGGGGATGCAACCTTCTAGGTCCATTTGAGCCACTGGTAGTTTGAGCTGTAGAGGATCCTTATTGTGTCCCAAAGAGAGCGTGTATAATAACACCAGAAAATAGTTTGTAATTGTCGGCAGTTAGGGTTGATCAAATAAAAGTTCTTTGTCTCTTTTCCTTATTGATCCCCACATTCGGTAAAGGCGGAGGATGCTGTCCTTTGGTACCTTTAGTACTACTAGTACTAGATTGTAGAGGCTGCCAGCTCAAGGGCATGATTTTTGATTACACTATGTACCTAATCTACTAAGATTATCTAAACGATTAAGTCATACTAACTAACTACTTATATTTCTTACATTGTTTAGATTACCTAGATAGTAGTAGTCTTAATCGATTGCGACCATGACTATACAATTCTCGACCCACTCTGAAAACAGACGATGAGTTAGTAACCGTGGACTGTGTGCCTTATCCATTACCACGCCCAAAAGAGAAAAAAAAAAAAAAAAAAAAAGAAAAAAGGAAAAAGAAAAAACCGGTGGCTCCTTGTCAAGGGACCCCGTAACTGTAGGGAATCCCGACACGAGGGGGCACTACGCGAAGTCCGCGAAGAGACTGGCTATTAAGCCCACCTCCATCCTGTAACGATGCATACTCGTGCACCTCCGATAGACGAACAGGGACACATACCAGACAAACCTCGCTATTACCCGAATCTCACTGAGCCTTTCATGGTGACCATGCGACAGTTAGGTGGTGATGGTGTTAATGATGTCAAGATTAATTGGTGGTATATTGCTCATCTGGATGAAGGGGTGGTTGCTGGATCTGCTGGTAAGGCGGAGGGGTTTACTCCAAAATTCTTTCCGTTGAAGGAGGCAGTAGAGAAGCTCAGCTTCGATAATGATCGGACTGTCCTTCAGAAGGCGATTGCATTAGTGGAAGCTCATTAAATCAATTAGTTACCTTTGTCCGAATACTTTGTGTGGGAGTTGAGTTGATGCGACGGGGTGGATGACACGCGGTTCAGAACATCTACTAGACTTAAGTAACTAGTTACATGAGGCATCGTAAAGGCTATCATTAAGATTCCTTCGTTTCGACGTTGCCTATCCGGTGATTTCTTGTCCGGACATCAGCTTCTACCAAGCTCTTTAGGAACAGACACAGCAATCGCTAGCAGCGTCATGGTGTGATAGTACTATACGAGATTCGTTCAAAGCAAGCCACGAAACCTCTGGACCCGCCAGTTAATGCTTTTGAAACATCACACCGACCAAATACCTCGTATCAACTCATAGTTCAGCAGAGACTAATTGCCAAGTCCTTCCTTCACAGCCCTAATTCCCCACAACAGACATCTCGGCCCGAGCAGCTACACTCGGAAGTGTCTCAATGGCATGAGGGCCAAGAACGATTGTTTCAAAAGTACATCTAACATCGCTATACTCAGCTCTAGATAATAAAATCACAGCAACTACTGGCCGGGTTTCGCTGGTTAGGTAGTCTTTCGTAAACCTCGACGATGTTGCCGGCTAAAAATAGCCGGCATATTCGGCAGGATCCACAACCGTACCAGGAGTCGTAGTTTCGGGGAACCATCGGGGCCCTAGGGCTCCGTGATAATCACTTTTCCGGTTACTCTATACCAGACGTCATTCTTCCCGATACATCCCCGGTAGACCGATAATGATTGACATAGCAGGTAGGAAAGTGAATGCTCATCGTTACTGTAATTGATCGGTGTAGGGGGAGTCGTGGGTACAGGAGATCAGTTCGAGTGTACGAAGTACGTACAGTTGCATCATGGGGTTGTGAATCGCAGTTATAGTTGTTGGAAAGAAGGTATAAATATACCTGTAGAGACTCTTCATATCCTCATTATACAAAACTACAACGTCTACTTGACATACAAGTTCTTCCAGCTCTTCTTTCACAAACCCTCTGCAACAATGCGTTTCACCCTCTTCGCCGCTCTTGCCCTTGTTGGCACTGCTCTTGCTACTCCTCAGGCTAAGGTTCGTTAACCATTCTCTCGATTATAAAGATCCTTTCGTTGTATAGATACTAATGTACTGATAGATTGGCACCGGTCAACCCTGCAAGGCAGATGGAAGCATGGGAGTCTGCGACAGCGGTCTTTGCGTGGTATGTCACATACACTGTTCAATATTCATTTATAGACTATGATCAATCCCTTGAATCAATAACTAACCAACACACGCGAATAGCAAACCCCCGACCAGACCCAGGGTGTGTGCAAGTGAGCACCCCTCCCAGATAAAGGAGAAACGGAGGAGAGTGTATCCAGCGCACGTTATCTCCAGATATCCCTCGGACAATGCCCTATTCAGTGTATTTAGATTTCATGGTCATTAGTAGTGGTTGATTTGACCGTGCCATTCCTTTGAATTAAGAACCAGATCTTGTTTGCTTATCACCTCTCCTTTCATTTTGTGTCTATCTCAGTAAGACCTTAGATATCATGTGGGAGAAATTCCCTGTAACGCGGGAGACATCAGAGTACATGTTCATATAGGTTTCATGGAAGAGGGGGGGGAGGAATGTTGGAGATATCGTGCTTGAGGAGAGCAGAATTGAGTATCAATCGTTCCTGGCGGTACTATCATCATACTATGCCTGGTACAAGCGTCGAGAATGTCATTGGTTTGTGTGCAATATTTAGATGGACAAGGTAGTAAATATGTACAACGTGTTAATATATGCCTTAAAGAGATGTGGTGTGGTATCTGGTATTAAAATACATGTTGAAAAAAAAAATAAAAAAAAAAGGAACTGCGTGATTCCACCCCAGGATCAACAAATCCTGCTCAGGCAGAACTAAACGGTTGTATATCAGCTCCACCGCCCAGGAAGAAAGTTGAATCACCATAAGATAGTTCTAACATGGGAAACGATGGGTCGAAAGAATGGTTGTCCAAGCCTGCCAAAATTCCCGAGCTCCAAGTAGTGCTTGTGTTTAACCAGTGGGGCGAGTTGGAGTTGTGAATTACATCCTGAGAAGAGGTCCCCTGTTGAGAGGGACTTGTCTGAGTAGCGCCTTGGTTGGTGAGCGCGGTAGAGCTTTCTTCATTGAGAAAGCGTTGAGAGAGCGAGACAAACTCCTGAAAGAGTTTCTGCAGATTGGCGATGTGCTCGCTGGCTGTCCCGCTCTGGGTCAAGCAGTCTGCGACTGTTTTCAAAAGGTTGAAATCGCCTATGTGAGAGGTGACAACAGTGTTACAGAATAGCACAAAGACGGCTGTCAAGGGGTAATAAAGAAGGGTCCTAAGAATTATTAATATCTCATCTTTTAGGTTTGAAAAAAAGTTTATCACTGACCAATGTAGGAAGGCGACAGTACTTTGCTTGTTGGCTGATAGACATATGGATACCAAGGCTGATAGCTCTTGGCGTGCTGAATCCAGGTAGAGATCCTTGGCAGTAAGGGTCTGCCCTGGGGTAAGTTGAATCAGATGAAGTATAGTTGTCATAACTGAGTGATAGGCAAAATCGAGGGCTGCGATTTCGCTGTGGCTATCTAGGCCTTTCCAACGATTAGAAGGTGGTGCAATCTATGAAGAGGAATCTCGTGGTTAGCATCTATTAGATTCAAACTAGGCTGGGGTGACGACTTACCTGGTCGATTCTGCTGCGGATATCCTCCATCCTCGGCAGTAATTGCTCTCTTAAGTTTGAGACTGGCGGGACGGCATGCTCACCATCTGCTGCCGAGGGATCCTTGATGAATGGTATTATTCCGTCCTGTATCTGAGCCAAGTCCAAATATAGTAGGAGAACATCGGAGATTGGTGGATTCAGCCTGGTAGAAGCGTGCAAAATCCCTTCAGGGGTGGCATCCAGAAAACCCTTGGATCGCCCAAGCTTCCAGGCATAGTTTCTATCCAGCTTATAGCACCATATGAAGCAGAAAAACTCCTCCTCACTGAGAGCCCGTCCATTTGTAGCATTGGTGTTAAGCCCAATATCGGTGCAAATCCTGCAAGCAGTTCTAGTTAACTCCCAGCAAAAATTGGTATCTCCCGATCCCTGAAAAAGAAAGATCTAGAAACAGGTTAGAGGCTAAACCATGTAGGAGTCTTCATATAACTCACCCCACACAGTACTGCCTGTAGAAGTGTAAAAGATGGTGTGGTTACGAGTGGGATTTTTCTTAATGCTGCCTGCGCTGTCGCTCGATACTGTAGCGCATTATGCCATAGCCTCTGTGACAGTTCGCCATGCTCTTCTGTCATAACCACTGTAGTGAGAAACTTGTACGCTATAGAGTTAACGCAGACAGTATAGAGAATGGTATCAGATGGCGATGCATCTTTGCGTAGCAGAGACATCCCCATCCTCTCAAGGCTCTTCTTGGATACGTGCCGGAAGTAGTCCCGAACGTATGGTCCGAAGAGATCAGTACCAATGTCTAGATTGATCAGATAACCCCAAGTCAGCCACTACCACATGACAGAGACCAAGGAAGAAGGTTTCAATACCTTTAAGCATCCAAGTTAGAAATTCAGGGGCCGGAATTTGGCGTTGCTCTTCACTCTGGTCATCGACATTAGACGGTTTCCCAAAGCCTCCCATACTTTCTGTAAATTGGCTTGCAGCGTACAGTGCAGACTCAAGTACCTGCAGTCTGTTCCAAGCGAGGCCCTGCACTCGACTCAGCCGGTGCCGGCTGGCCATCTGCGCATCGGTGAGGGGGACGATCGAGATCCAATTATGAAGTTCATATGCCACGTGCGGACGGTTGGTCAATATAGGTCCGACTTCCGGCATCTCCATCGGTAAGCTATCATTGTCCAGCTCAGAAGGGAGTGAGTAAGTATCGGTTTGCTGATCCAGTAGACCCCGGAGCGAGCCCAGCTCAGGCACCGGATGGGTGGAAGTCCGAGAAGATTTAGCTGCATTGCTTGGCCTGTCACTTTGACGGGAGACTTTTCTCATGGTACGTCTCAAACTCCGGTGGCGAGTACATGAAGTTCCTTGATCCTGGCAATTGCCGCAAGGGTTCTTCCTGTCACATCGGACCTGGACGGAAGATTAGCAAAAGAAGAACATTGGTCAGACAACAAAAGCTATCCTTTAGCTCTTACCTTGCGGGAATGGCAGTTGTCGCACTGTTCGAAGGTGTTAGCATGCAGTCAGATTTTAAAACTATCTCGGAATATCCATACCACCTGGTGCGACGTGGACCGTCGTTTCTCAACTAACAGGGTTTCCATACTAGTAATTAATACATAAAAGAAAGGTAAGAGAAAAGCTCTGTTGTCGCAGGTCCCCGCTTCACTTATAAGGGAACAATTAAAGTTTTTTCAACTTCTGTCAAGCACCAGAGGAACGAAAAGTACCGAGATGGCGCCGTCTGAAGCATGCCAAGCCGCTGGTTTGTATGGAGTAGGCTAAAGTCGACAAATGGCTGAGCGAGTGACCCAGTCTTGGCAATGAAGTATTATTAATAGCACGCACGTCTTGAATTCTTGAAAATTTAGAGGCTGCCTGGTAGGGCTTATCCGATGTCGTTTTTTCTTTTTTCTTTGCTCAGGGGAATTTCCAAACTGCCGTGTCTGCGCCACGAGAACGTGGCGATGCGGACGATAACCTACCAATAGGGTCACTCGGAGCCAAAATTTAAGTATGGAACGTTCTCCGTACCCTAAAAACTCTGATCCTATTTTTACTCCAGTTGCTTTAAAAAGGGTCATCAAGCTTCTACAACACGGCAAAGCTGTCTCGTATCATGAGCTCTTATACAGACACACACATTCCCCATTATAGCACAGAAAATGTAGTGGGGCCGTGTTAGTTCCCACTCAGGGAGTCAGGGTGTTAGGGGTCCAGAAACTAGTGTAACTACTAACTGCCTTAGGGTGGGGTGGAAATGATAGCTAAGTTCCAATATCTGGATCTAGATGTCGAATTTTTGGGATGACAGTGTGCCATGGCCACACAGCAAGCGATAATTGGCCCGTATGGAGGCTGTCCGATTGTATCGGTCTCGATTGGCTTGCGAGGGCCCACCTCCCAATGGTTCTGCAGATAACTTCCTTACATCTTGTGGGAGAGTGCCGGATAACGTAAGGTTTGAGACCGTCGATGCGCTGAGCAGTGTGCAGATGGCTTTTCGCTCGGTGGGTGGTTGCGCCTAGCGCACTCTTTGTCGGGCGATGGCTTAGAACCCACGCATTGTTGGTTGAGGTATATATTACAGCCTTAGTCTGCTTCTTATTCTAAAGTAGGGTGAAACGAAAATAAATGTGAAGACTTATTATCTTGTCTGCATCGGCCCACCCCCTTTAATCTTGCTTGCGGCAGAGCTTACCGGTCTGGTAGGTCAGCCAGTCAGGGACGTCAGTGATATACCAGTCCTCGCTGCCGACGGCAGTCGGAGCCCAGAAGGTATCCCAGGGGTCGACCGCGGCCTTGATCTGGAGGAGGCGGTCATAGTTGGAACCATAGAAAGCCTGGCTGAAGTTAGGTTCCATGACGTCCGCCTCGTTCAGGTAGCTGCCGCCTCCCGGGGAAACATCGCGCAGGCGCTGCATGATGTCGTCGGTGAGCTTCTTGTTGGCGGCCTTGAGCTCGTCCTCGGAGATGCCGTCGGCCCAGGCCACGCCAAAGATACCGTAGAAGACTGTGTCGCGCCAGGCGGGAAGGACGGCGCTGTCTGGGGTGTCGGGAAGAGCGGCGCCGTTCATATTGTACTGAATGAGGGCGGATCCGTCCTCTATAACACTGCGAATTGTGTCCATCGTCTTGTTGAGCAGCGCCTCGTCCTCCCAGTTCTTGCGTGGGAAGAGGCGGCTAGCAGTGTGTAGGTTGGCGTTGGCGACAGTCTCTGTGGGGAAGTGAGTCGACCACGTCTCGTAGAAGTTGTCATGCTCGAAATACTCTGGTGTGAAGTCGAATCCCATCTCGGTCCACTCGTCGAAGATGCCGGCGACCATGTCCTTGAAGTCGTCCAGCTCCATCCCAGGAACCAGCCAGGGAAGCATGCTCCAGGTGTAGCCGGCGCCGGTGCCGCGGCTGTAGATCTGCGAGTAGGCGTAGCTGCCCTGATCGGCCCAGCCAGGGAAGCGACGCCAGTAGGCGTAGAGAGCCTCGAAGAAGACGTCGTCGGTGTTGTTGGTGTCCGGTCCGGAGGCAATGTCCCAGGTGACACCACTGAAATTGAGCTTGGGGTGGACCTTGAAGGTCACGCTAGTGACGACGCCCCAAGTGGCGCCGCCGCCGCCGCGGAGGGCCCAGAAGATGTCTTGATTCTGTTGGGCGTTGGCGGTGACGAATCGGCCACTGGGCAGGACGACGTCGATGGAGAGAACGTGGTCGGCGGCCATGCCGTACTTGCCCGTCAGAGGTGAGTGACCACCGCCAGCGACGTAGCCGCCAGCGACACCCACGCCCTTGCACTCGCCGCCGACTGCGGTGACGCCG